GTGGTGTCCAGTGTGGGGAGGAGGGAATAAGGGAAAATAGCAGATGAAGGCAGGGAGAAAAGGAGAGGTGGGGGCTGAAGGAAGCCATTTTCTGTAGGACAATACATCCATCATAAGGACTTTGGTGTTTACTCTGAATGAAATGGCCAAGTGGTAGGTGCAGTCCTCTCCTGGGCCCTGTAGAGATGAGATTATGCAGAAGTGGGTGGAGGGTGGCGGAAGGGGATACAAAAATGGAAACAGGAAATAAGAGGTGATTGCATTAATCTAGGCCGGTGATGATGCAGGCAGTAGCAGTGGAGGGACTGGCTTGGTAGTGGAGTGAGAGAGGAATCAAGGACTCGAGGCTGTTGGCTTGGGGGAGTGGGGAAGACCTCACAGAGCCTGATCGGGAGGCCTGAGTGCTCAGCCCCTCGCCCCACCTCCCTCTGACCGCTCTGCCTCCTTCACAGGGAGTTTTATGCAGGACCGTTCCTGGAATTTTGTCGGGGCTCTTAAAGGGCAAGGCACCAGTCCTACCGTTTTTGCATCCCAGCCCCTAGCAGGGACATGGTTTGCACAATGCCAGGGCTCTCCGTTCACACTGTGACCTGTGCTGCGGGGCAGCTGCCCTCTTCTGGGTCTCACAGTCGGGGCCTAACAGATGGTTGTTGGAAGGAAAGGAGGGAAGGAAGGCAGAGGGAGGCAGGGAGTCTTTGTTATCAGCACAGATGCATTTGAAATCGCACACCCAAAACTGTTAGTAGCTCATCTAGTGCTTGTAATAGTTTTTAAAAATAACATGTACATTTAAACATTCGGACATTTTTTGTCTTTGAAAGTGAAATTGTTAAATCCATCATCTCAACTTACAAATTTCTTTTATAAAGAGGTGGTGTTTCTTCCTGCCTGTTTAAATCATATTCCACATTGAAACTGGTTATGTAACTAAGGAATTAAAACAATGTCGTGTCTTATTTTTTAGTGTGTCCCCTGAGAGGCTGGTACAGGAAACTTATTGAAGTGGAGTGGGGAAATCAATAAAGTCATAACCACAAAGCAATTTCATTAACTTTTTCTTAATTAAATGGGAAATATAAAATTCTTTTCAATAAATACATCTAAAATAAAACACTCCAATTCCAACTTGCCGCATAAAGCAGGCAGAAGGGTGGAAGCTGGAAGGAAATGTAAAGGTCCACAGTTGGACCTGCTCCTTAGCCTTCTGACGAGGAACTGACTCCAGGAAGGAGCTGCCAGGATCGCGATGCTGTTGAGAGGCTGAAGCCCAGGTCCACCCTCCGACACCAGCCCAGTGCCAGCCCAGTGCCTGGCGGCGGCTCCCCCTCCCTCTGCCCTCTGCTCCTTTCTGGCGTTGGTTCAGCGGGAGAGACAGGAAGGCAGGGGTGCAGAGATGGCCGTCTTCAGGCAGGACCCTCTCCTCTCCCAGGTGTGTCATTCTTCTGGGGCTCACTCTGACTGGCTAGTGAGGCGTGCTGTGGAGTGCTTCTCTGGCTGGGAACTCACATGAGCTTTTTTTTTTTAATTGGGTTTATTAAGATATAATTCACATACCATAAAATTAACCCATTATGTGTACAATTCAGTAGTAGTTTTTAGTATTTTGGGGTTCTGCAAACTACCACCACAATCTCATTGCAGAACACTCTCAGCATCCCCAGAGAACTCAGGTACCTAGCAGGCCCTGCTCATGGCCCTCCCCAGCCCGAAGAAACCACTCATCTACTTGCCACCTCTGTCGGCTTCATTTAAGTAGAATCATATAACATGTGGTGTTTTGTGACTGGCTTCTTTCACTTAGCATAATGTTTACAAGGTTTATCTATGTTATAGCAACTACCAGCACTTCATTCCTTTCTATGGCTGACTAAATATTCCATTACGTATGATATACAGCATTTAATTTAACCATTCATCAGTTGATGAACATCTGTATTGATTCCATGGTTTTGGCTATTCTGAAATAATGCTGCTATGAACATTATTGCACAACTTTTTGTGTGGATATATGTTCTCATTTCCTCTGGGTATATACCTAAGAATGGAATGGTGGGTCACATGGTAATTCTCCGTTTAACCTTCTAAGGCACTGCCAGACTATTTTCCAAAGCAGTTTATTCCAGTGTTGGTGATGTTAACTTTGATGGCTTCATTAAGGTGACGTTCACCACGTTTCTTAGCTATAAAGTTATCATTGTTGTCTTTGTAATGAAAAGTTAATTTGCACGGAGATACTTTGAAACTGTTAATTAAATATTTCTCATCAAACTTTCACCCACATACCCCATTACAGTCACTGTCATCAGCGAAGTAAGATGCTATAGAGTCACTACTTGCCTTCTCTGTGCTATACTGCCTTCCCCGTGCCCGCCCCCACATTATGTGTGCTAATCGTAATGCCCCTTTTTCCCCTATCCCTTCCTTCCCACCCATCCTCCCCAGTCCCTTTCCCTTTGGTAACTGTTAGTCCATTCTTGGGTTCTGGGTCTGCTGCTGTTTTGTTCCTTCAGTTTTTGCTTTGTTCTTATACTCCACAGACGAATGAAATCATTTGGTACTAGTCTTTCTCCGCCTGGCTTATTTCACTGAGCATAATACCCTCTACCTCCATCCATGTAGTTGCAAATGGTAGGATTTTTTTTCTTCTTATGGCTGAATAATATCCCATTGTGTATATGTACATCTTTATCCATTCATCTACTGATGGACACTTAGGTTGCTTCCATTTCTTGGCTATTGTAAATTGTGTTGCAATCAACATAGGGGTGCATTTGTCTTTTCAAATTGGGCTCCTGCATTCTTACGGTAAATACTTAAGAGTGGAATTTCTGGGTCAAACGGTATTTCTATTTTTGGTTTTTTGAGGAAACTCCACACTGTTTACCACAATGGTTGAACTAGTTTACTTTCCCACCAGCAGTGTAGGAGGGTTCCCCTTTCTCCACATCCTCACCAACATTGGTTGTTTGTCTTTTGGATGGTGGCCATCCTTACTGGTGTGAGGTGATAGCTCATTCTGGTTTTAATTTGCATTTCTCTGATGACTAGTGATGTGGAGCATCTTTTCATGTCCCTGTTGGCCATCTGAATTCCTTCTTTGGGGAACTGTCTGTTCGGCTCCTCTGCCCATTTTCTAATTGGATTATTTTTGCTTTTTGTTTGCTGAAGTGCGTGACCTCTTTGTATATTTTGGTTATCAACCCCTTATTGGATATGTCCTTTAGGAATACATTCTCCCATACTGTGGGATGCCTTTTTGTTCAACTGATGGTGTTATCCTTTGCTGTACAGAAGCTTTGTAGTTTGACATACTCCCACTTGTTCATTGTTGCTTTTGTTTCCCTTGCCTGGGGAGATGTGCTCATGAAGAAGCTGCTTGTTTATATTCAAGAGTTTTGCGTTTTCTTCTAAGTTAGCCAGAATCAGCCAATAATTCAGAAAGCATCATTCTATTTTTACTCTCATGCTTTAATGACACATTCAAATTAGATTCTAACTCTATTATAAAAATAAAACTTATTTTTAAAGAGGCTTATTTAAAATATCCAAATAAAAAACTTAGGAATAAATTTTTTTATTTAGCTTAGTAAGAGATACAGAATCTATGTTCAAGAAGATGATTCTTTTTCTCTATATGCTTCTAAAGTAAATGTTTAATACTAAATCTTTACCCAGGATACACTGGGCTCTCCTGTGGTCAAACACACACCCACACACACCACATACCCCAAATCTCAGTGGCTTAACATAATAAGAGTTTGATCATGCGAAGCACTGAGGGTCCAACTGACCTTCATGTGGTCACTCAGAAATCAAGGTCACTTTGATCTGGCGGTTCCACCATTCCAACTGAGGCCTCTTCAGTGCCATGGCAAAGGAAATGGGGCTTGTCATTGGCCTGGTCTGGAAGTGACGTGTGCTATTTTCACTCCGGTTTAACTGGCTGGAACTAGCCATTGTCCAACTGTCTACCTGCAAGGGGGCCGGGAAGTACAGTTTTCTTTATGCCAGGAGCGAAAGGAAAAAGGATACTGGTGAACACTACTAATGTCACCCAAATTGTTTTATCAGCATGATATCAAGGCTGCATGTAGAATGCTAACTCTTAACTCATTAAAATAAAATCAGTATCTGATGACCTAACAATTCTGGTAGTTTTTGAAGAATCTAGTAAGGAAAACAAATGGTTAGTATGCTAATCAAACAGGTTATAGAAATACCCCAACTTCAGTAAGGCTGACAAGTAACAGATGAGTGATAATGGTTTATCTTTAATTTTTAAACTGCTATAACATGATAGGTGTTGTAGGTTAAAATGAAAACCATGTACTTTTGATGCCAGAGTAAGCACATCATCATTAAAGCGTGTAAGTGTACAATCTGAATTCACACCTCACACCAGCAAAGATGGGGCCAGTAGAGAGGTAAGCAGATAAAGTAAAAAAGATTTTCAGCTCTTTTCAAACACTCATAAGGAGTTGTCGAGCCCCCAAATACTATGTGTGCTATGTAAGAGCCAGCTTTAGTCTGGAAAAAGATTAATAGTACACGTCACTGACCTTTGCACCCACAAATAAAAGTAATGTAAGAAAAGAGAATGAAAAACTATCTGTGGATCAGAGCTAAGAAAAAAACTTATTCCTTACTTTCTCACTACCCTCAAAGGTAAATAAGTTGGCCTACTGTATAAGGTTAAAACTGACCATTTAGGTGTGGACAGATGCTTATCGAGTATGAATTTCAATGCAGCTGATACTATCTCTCCTGGTGATAACATAGCTCTGAGGATTTCACCCTGTGTAATTCTTATGATTATTTCTAGCCCCATACATACAGCAAAACCACATTTGCTACAACAGCAACTGTAGTATGTCAGGTTTACATTCAAACAAGATTCTTTTATTTAAAAAAAGTATGCAGTGAGAATAATTTAAGTTTTGAGAACACTCATTATCCAAATATAGGATCAGATGAGGGATAATGTATAACACAACAAAACCTATGCTAAATTCAAGGTTTATTTGGAAGAGTAAAGAAAAACAAACAAACATATGAAAAAGATAGGACATTTCACTTTTAGTCAGGCAAAAATGAAGAGTCCTGGACAATATCAGATTCCACACACCATAATACCATAGTTAACACATTAAATATAATTATTGTCTATACATATGCAAAAATATAAAGTTCTATTTCATACAATAAAACCCTTTATAGAAACCATTTTAAAATTAAGCAGAACTTCTCAACATTAATATGTGAGTTATAAGTGTTTCTAAAGGTTCCCTTAAAGGTTTTAAAACAAAATGCTAAATCTAAAAATGTCCTGTCAGTTTGCAAATTAAATCTACTTAAAACAAAACAAAAATTGATAGCTCAGTCACATACTACTTAAATAATATTGTTCAGGTATCTCTAAAATCCTTCATTTTTTCAAGTATGGAAATAGAACTAGAATATTCCACAACACAGTAAGTACTAAACAGATGGAATAATTAGGAGATACTTAGTTGTAATATGGCACAATATCGTATTATTTCTTCAATGTTTTGCAATAAATACCAGGTTTTTATTTAGTTTTTCTTCTAAAAGACCAAAATTGTAACCTACATTAAGATCATTTTGACTGTGGTAAGACTTAAAAGTGTAAAATATAACATGGATATTTCATCACAAAAGTAAAGCTGGTGACAGACCACAGAAGCCTGCGCCCGCTCGGGCCGCGGGGCCTAAAGCTCGTCGCGGTAGAGGCGCTCATCGTGGAGCTGCCTGCCGTAGTCGGTGGCCTCGCTGCTCAGGAACAAGTCGCGGTTCTCCAGAATCTCCGCTACAGAGAGCTTCCTGTCGTTATTCAGATCCATTTCATCAATTAGATGAAGAGCCTTTAAAGCAAAATGAGAAAAATAAAAATGAAAAACAGGTGTCAAGTGTAATAAGAATTTTCAGCAAGATACTCAGTTTTAATGTGCTCTGATGTGTCAAAACCATTCAGGTATGCGAGGTACTTATGACTGTCTAAGTATCCAAAAACACTACACACTGTAACTGTTTCTGTGTCTATGGCTTTTCGTTTCCTCCTTCTTGATTTCTTGTGGCTTCTGCCTTTTCACCACTCGGATCCAATTCAGGAGCCTCCAACTCAGGCAACGCTAATACAGTGCACTTGGAGCCCCTGTAGATACGTAAAAACTTTCACATTTACTGTATTATCAAATTAATACGATACAATCTCAACTTTTGTCTCCTTGGCAATCTAAAACTGTTCATAGATTTAAATTAAGAAATAGCGATGCAGTAATCCTAAAATAACTCCACTCCTTCTTCCTTTGGCTTAAGATTTTGAACTTCCTTTCCTATCAATAGCACTGAACTTGTTCCAGGCAAGAGCAGGTAGGCGGTCACTCTGTGATACTCACCTCCTCCTGTGCGATGCCCTGATTATTGGGTACCACCCAAGATAACACCTCTTGGGGGTCAAGCCTGCCATCCGCATCTCTGTCGTAATCGTTCACGAATCTGTCTTTCTCAACAAGTATCCACTCTGGGTCTTCACTGGCTGCTAAATACATATACATACAAATGTTTGTAAAACCCACAATGAATACACACAAGATTATTACATACATCCAATGAGAACTTTAGTATATCGCTAGAATAAAGAAAATGAATTTAAAACCACATAAAGGAAGCCAACTGAAATAGAACTACTTAGCTGAAAAGTCCTGAAGTACAAACCATATAGTAATTTCCAAAAGTGACCCATAATTCCTAACGACTCAGTTTTAAGATCATTGCATATCATCACACACTAATTTTGTTAATTGCTTATTCTAACATCTCATTTTCCTATACTTGGCCTGGGTAATGCTTTTATGCACATCATGTGACTATATAAAGCTTCATATGTACTTTTATAAAATAGTGCGGTGTAATTTTAAAGTGGCATCCACAGTAAATGATGATTTTAAACAACAATTTTGAAAAAGACAGCTGCTTATAGAAAAGGCTGCATATACAAACTCAAATTTCAAACACTCGGTAAGCCTCTTTCCACTGTCTACACCACTACTTATAATAGTGCTTTCTAGGAGCTACATGCAAAGGTGTAGGATTTTGTTTTAAATACCAACCTTTCTCACCCATTTGAACTGATAATTACATTTGTCTGAAAAGGGAGAAAAATGTTTGAATCCAGACGTGAAACTAAAAGTGATCAAGACAGCATCCTCAGGTACTGAGTCCCTTTAGTTCACTTGTACATTTAACTAGGCAGTACAAACAGAAATCAAGCACAGTTCTTGCTCCATTTTCTTGTCAAACAAGAGCCCTCAAAGAGCAGGACTGTTTTAATTTCTTTTTCCTTTGATTCCACTTTTCCCCCCTCCTCCCACTTACCCCTAAGCTACTTACTTGGGTCCCGCCTGTAGTCACCAAGAAATTCTTCCAAACTAACAAAGCCGTCACCATTTTTGTCATGTTCTTCTAAAGCCTCTTGAATGACAAATTCCTATTTCATGTTCATAAAAAGAAATGAGTCACAAAACTTTCAATCCTACCACCATCTGAATCGATTCTACTACAGAATTTATTTAGGAATTGTCACTTTGGATGTCTGTAACTTCCAAGTCAGTCTTCCTAAACACTGGAATGCAGGAGCAGGAATAAAACCCCAAATAGAACCAGCTTTAAATTCGACGACCCTACGCTTCTGCTATTGAGAAGAATTCCACTTTGCCCTCCTCACCCACCGCTGCAACTCATCCTACTTTCTGCAGATTCCCTTTCTTCTCAAGAATGACACTTCTTACTACCCTTCTTGAACACCTTTCCCTCCAACAACTAAAAGAGAACCATTATCTTAGATCCCTGTGCACATACAGACCCTGCCCTTTGCTTCCTCTTCTACCATGTCTACCCCATTCACCCCCAAACTGCCCCCAAATCTGTTCCTTGGTCTTACCAAACCGGTAAGATCCTCCTCTCTAACCCGCTGGTTACACCCTTTCTACGTATACTTGACCCAAGACGGTCTGTTCAACGGCCGGCTGCTTCAGTACTTCCCACGTCACCTCCTCTCGCACCCTCTTCTTATGCCAGTCCCCACCTGTACATCAG